TCTCGTTATTTCTCTACGAAACACGATCCAATCACGATAGAAGCTCTCGAAATTGAACGGAGATGCGCAACGCAAAGCGCACGTTCGAACGAGGAGGAGGAGGAGGAGGAAGGAATCGTCGAATTTTTCTTTTTTTCCCACGAAAAAAACTTTTCTCGAGAAAAAAGTGGAAAGTTTCGTGGCGAGGAGAGAACGTAGAATCGAGAAGGGTTACGATATGATTAGTTTTGTTTTTTCTTTTTTTTCATCGGGACGAAAAAGTCTTGAAAGTCTTAGCCGGTGGTATTTCTAGTAGCGACTGTACGGTAGCCGTATACGGCAATTGGCCACTTCCCTCGACGAGGGCTCGTAGGAAGCTGCCTTCAAAGTCACCAGTTATCATTGATCAAAATTACCACGTAATTTGATGAATGGCTGTCTTATCCGATGCCGGCACCAACGAACTCCGATCGATGACTCTCTCTCTCTCTCTCTCTCACTCTCTCTTTTCTTCTCTCTTGTGCTTACACACACACACACACACACTCCGATACTCTCGTCGCACGAAAATGAATTTTTCATATATATATATAATCGGAGAAAAAATTATTTTTTTCTTTGTTTTTTTTTCGTTTTCTTTAAAATTATATCGCATCGGGTCGGATAATCGAGCTTTTGAAGTTGAAATTGACACGTACCTTTCACTGGGAAAAAAAAGTCGAGCTTTTTCAAAGGATTTTTCAACGGATACGGATGACGAACGATTAACGGAGCACGGTAGAAAATTGTTCGTATTTATCGCCGTTACTCGGTTATGAACACATCCGAGCCGTAAATTCGTGTGTTTATCCTCGAAAAGCAAAGAGATAGCAGATAATGGACCGGAAAAAAGGATTGCCGACTCGGTAAATTTGTCTAGACGAAGGAGTGTGTCAACATCGAGTAGCGATTATTAAACTTTGGCGCGAAAAACTCTACACGGATCTATTTCATCTTTCCCCAACGATTCTTTTTCCCCTTTCGCGTCGAGTAGCGCGTTTCGTCGATCAGAGAGAGAGAGAGAGAGAGAGAGAGAGATCCTTGAATTCGGAGTTTAAATCAAAGGGATCGTATTCTAATCAATTTATATATTCGTATCGAAATAGGATTGTGTTTGCGTTTCGTTTTACGAACGAAGGTCTTCCCAAGTTTTCGCGAGTTCTCGAGAATAAGAATCGCGGAATATCTTATTTTTAGAAATGAAGAATACGCGGACAACAGCCGCGTTCACAGTGAAATTACAGTTTCAATATATTCCATCCACGGACGATGAATTATCACGTCGCTGTTAAATCGAATCGTGCGTTGGATCGCGCGAAGATTTTTTGTAAAAAAGAAAAAAAAAAGAAAAAAACATCCGACGCTAACGTATCGATTAAACATTAAAACGAGCGCGCGAAAACTTTCCAAGATCTGGAACGTTGGGGGGAAAAAAGAGTATAAAATATCGGGATCCCCTCGTCGAAGAAGAGAAGAAGCGAAAATTGAAGAACTCGAAAAGATGTGGATTCGAAGTAGATGGATCTTCTTTTCGAGCGGAGATTAATAGGACAATGGTAGGTAGATTCTAAAGATAACAAATTGCTGGAAGTGAATATCAAACGAAACCACTTAACAAACCACTTACGTCAAACGGCAAAAATTCTAAGAATAGATAATGTTGACACATTATGTTACCATATATCATGGTAATAGCGTGTACAATCGTTACGTAACAATCGGTTCGAGTAAATAAACAAATGAAACAAGCGTGAAACGTAAATAAACACGAAATAATGATCGAGGGGGAGGAGGGGAGGGAGTATGGTAATTAAACAAAAAGCGAAAAAGGAAACGATTTTTTAAATATTTACTAATTTCCAATATCATCGACCATTATACTACAGCCAGATATTAATTTAATTGTTTTAATTGTTCGGCTGCCAGTAAAAAGACCATTTTCATAGCGGAAAGGACAAACCGAGTCCATTGTTACGTCGTGCTGCTCGTAATTCAACGAGACGTTTTTAATCCTCTCCGTGAAAATTGTCATCCTTGCTTCGCGTAATTCCCTCTTTTGTTCTCCTCCATCGTGCTATTGCCACTATTGCCCGACTTTTCATTAGCATTAAAAAACAAAACTGTTACGTTTTCTTTAAAAATTCGTCGTCGACCAACAATTAGATAACTCGTCCGTCCGCAGAAACCTGATTTTTCAAAAATAACCTAACCTAGCCAACCATCTTCTTTAACGTTTCAACGGATTTTCATTGCTACTTTAAATCGACGATAAAGAAGAAAAAATAAAATACCGAAAATTGATGGATCGCGATAGATCCGCGGAAGAATTAGCCGAGATCCATCGTGAATTAAAGGAGGGACAAGTGCCACCACGGATGTCCCATGGGTTCACGACCCCATGCCGGCATATTAGAGCGCTGAATTAGTTAATGCCAGTCACATGGCCGAGCAACGAAATTACCTTCTCGCGATGATGCGTCAACATACGATCGCATTTTCGACAAGATCGTTCGTCCAATCGTTTCTTCCTGTCCAGAGCCCTCCCTTCTTCCTCCAATCGTTCTTCCTTCCTTCCTCCTTTCCAACCGACCGCCCCCGAACTCAATCAGAGATACATTTTTTTCCACCGAACAAACCGACTTGGACCACTTCAACAACATTATTTCCATCACGGATTGTGCCTCTTTCGCGGACGAAAAGGGGAAAATATCGAACGCGTAACAATTCTTCGTTACAATAAATAAGGTCTAGGACGAAGTGGTTGCGGTGTAACTTGATCGAGCTTACGTGGACGTGATAAAGCCTGATCCGACCGAGATAACGTCTAATTAAATATTTCAATAGGACAATGAGGGAGATTAATCAGCTCGTATAATAATAATAATAATAATAATAATAACAACATTCGCGTTTCTGCATCTTGAAAATATAGGCGCAACGTGAATCACAACCGCTACCAGATTTATTATACTCTCTTCTTATCGCGTATTTTCACTCCTGTCACTCCGTGTTTTTTTCCCCGCTGTATTGGAGGGAGGGAGGGGAAGAAAACCCTTCGCGCGTGTTATCGTTAGGAGAGAGAGAAAAAAAAATTAAGATAGCCGGAGCACGCTTTTGCGACCTGCGTTCGATAACGTGGCAATAAACAAAGCGTTTCGATAACTTTTGAACCCTTTACGACGCTCATCTGTCGCGATGTACTCTCCGCGAAAACACGCTTTCGCTCTCTTTTCGTTCATTTTCTATCCCCGTATCGATTGCAAAATAATAATAACAATAATGGCGTATCCTCTTTATCCGTCGATCCTTCCTTTTCTCTTTTTTTCTTTCTTTTTTTTTCTTGCCCCAATGATCCCGATCCGTGATACGTGTGGGGACAACGAAATAAATAGAGAGTTGCAGTTTATATTACACGCGGAATGATGAAATTTCTATTCGACATTTCTATGCAAAACGCGCGTGCGTCATAAAAGAACGAATCGGTGGGACGGGATACGAATTTCGACGATTATCTCGAGCTCTGTTTCAACAGGTCTGTTTTATCTATCCGTCTATCCGAGGATCGAATCTTTTACTTTTCTTTTTTTTTTTTCTCCATATACCACGATGAAAAGCATACGAAAGCGAAAGTAAAAGGGATCGTCGGAAGTGGTTTCCATTTTCATTCGCTTTCATCGCGAAGAAGAATTTTTTCCCTGGAAATTGTCTCGGAAGGAATCAATTAATACGTTCGTGCGTTCCCCTTTCCCGAAACATAAAAAACACCAACGATAAAACGAAGGAATCGAGGCAGACTTTAAGTCTGCGAGTCTTCCCCGATAACCCTGTTTACCGCACTCCAGAAGGCAGAAAGAATCGGCCACTTCTGATTATTACCAACTTTTATTTACTTTCAATGCAAATAATTACTGCGTAGAAAAATTACTTCGCTTCGAGTTCAGACGGAAAGAGAGAGAGAGAGGAGAGAAAGGAGATAAAAAAGTTAAGTTAAACAGAGATTACGGAAAAACTTAAAAAAAAAAAAAAAAATAAGATATATCAAATTTAATCATCTGCGGGAATGAAAAAACAAGGAGGCTAATCTTGGCGATATCAAACACGAATTAATCGCACGACAATATATCACGAGACTTGTGCAGTATCGTTAAAACTGATAAAAGATCGAATTTCTTCGTTTCAAGTTTATATTATATTTTATCCATTTGTATTATACGATTCTCAAGCAATGCGTGTCTACCGTGTGTAATTTCGTCCTATTATAATTACGATCAGACGATACAATCGTAAAAATAGGAGGATCGCTTTATCTCTCGATTATGCAAATCGTCTCGTTTCTCGTCCACCGATGGATCTGGCGCTGATAATCGTGCAATGTTACCGATCGGTGACAAATGCAATCGAGGTATCACGATCAAGTCCAAGGTCGACAGATCATTATGACGATGATAATGATGATGATAACGATGATGATGATGATGATGATGATGATGATGATGATCATCGACCAACGATCAGACCGCAACACTGGTTATATCATCGCGAGCATATTTCCATTAAATCTACACGCAAGCTCAGTTCACTGTGTAAACATTAGGGGAAAATAGAAATATATCATTAACATGATGTTTTAGAACGAATAATTATATAACAGAGGCAATAGACAATGTCCAATTGAAAATATATTATGTATATTGTTTAATTGAAAATTATTATAAAATATCTTAATCAATTATAATAAAATATCACAATCAATTTGTTACAAAATATCTTTAAAATATTATAGTATCATGATATCAGACTCGTATCCTCGTACATATATGGGTGAATAAATATAATGATAGATCTTAAAATTATAAAACTATTAAATCATATTTTGATCATTAAATCAATAATAATAATAATAATAATAATAATAATAATAATAATAATAGTAATAATAATAAATAAATACATTGAAATTGGAATAAATGATACGATTAAGAAATATCTAGGTTCTAATTCCAAGATATAATTTCCTATTTTATTTATTTTTTCGGAACAAGTTGCATAGGCTTGACACCCATTTTTTCCGCGAAATCTTTGGACACTTTCAATTGATTAGGATGATACGAAATCCCACCCTCTTTGTCAACGCGTTTCATGGCGATTCTTTCCGGGTCCCCGGGTATCAAGACAGATTTGTTTTCGGTGGGAGGCAAGTTTCTCAATTGCGTCAACAGTTTGGCCAACCTTTCCTTCGATCCACTTGTAAAAGCGTTAGGATTTATTGCTATGAAACAGTGGCCGAGATTGGCAATTTTCGCCCTGTCCTTCCACTGCCTGATGTTAGGCCCGAAATCGCTGCCGGACAGAATTCCACAAAGCACCTCGACCATCAATGCCAGCCCGTAACCTTTGTAGCTCGAATTCTCTTCCAGCCCGCCGAGTGGCAACAAGCGGGCGGCATCGAACGCATCTTTCGCGTTCGTCGTAATTTTCCCATCCATCCCGAGCGCCCAACCCTTGAGAATTGCTTCGTTCTTCCTCATTGCCAGCTCGATTTTTCCAAACGCGACGGCTGTCGTCGCCATGTCCAGCAAGAACTTGTCGCCGCCCGTCGCTCCCATCCCCAGGGACATCGGATTCGTCCCCAATCCCGACACCTTGCTTCGCGTCGGGGCCATCAGGGGACTCGTGTTCGAGCAGGTGAACCCTATCAAATCTTTCTCGATCGCCATTTGCGTGTAATAACCGCATATCCCGTAATGATTCGAGCCACGAACCGTGATCATCGAGATACCGTACTTCTTCGCCTTGTCTATCGCCAGCTCCATGCAATATTTACCGATCGTATGACCCAATCCGTTGTTCCCGTCGATTAAAGCTACCGCCTGCAAATACATTTCGCCGATATTCTGATTTTTTCTTTTTTTTCAAGAGGAAGAGGAGGAAGGAAAAGGAGAAGAGAAGTGATGTTAGACTTTTGTCGTTTCAGTGGAATTCGAGTTTAGGTTGGTAAAAATTCGGACGTTACGTTTCTTGGACGTTTCTTGGCTTTGGATATTGTGTCTACAACGCGAGAAATGTTAAAATTCCGCTCAGACGACGGTAAAAGTCGGATTCTCAAATCTCAAGTGATTCGAAGTTTCCAACATCGTATAACGATTATGCTATGACTCTTCCATCATAATTGCGACAATTCTTTTTTAGGGAAAAAAAAAAAAAAATGACGCAAATACAATTTTTGCGAATCATCGCGAGGAAGATAAATCGAATAAATTATTCTTCGAATAACCACGAAATATCTCGGAATTATTGTTAAAATTTACATTTTAAATTGCATCTCCGTAGCGTTACCATCTTTCAGACGCACGAGTCCATCTTTTCTCACAACTGTTTTTTATCGCCGGTTGAATTTAAAACGAACGAATTTAAACCGCGCCACGAGTTTGAATTTCGTTCGATCTCGACGAAGATTACGAAGAATGAGGTGCAAAGGAAGCAAGAATATCTCGTCAATCGCTGTACAATTCCCCATCAATTAGACTCATGTACCTGAAAATCATTAACGACCTTCGGTTTCGCGGAAGGGTTGGTTATTCCATTCTTGATGCTCAACACGTAAGCTTGCATTCTGTTCATCCCATGACTAAAATGGCCACAATAGTCGGAAGTCATTAAGTGATGGCCAACGATATACCCGTCCTCGGGGGTTGTTCCGACCTTGCACAAGCAATCGGAGATAAATCTGATCACCTCGTTCTTAGGAACCACCATGTTGGTTGATGAACCAAGATCAGAAATGGTCCTGGTAGTGGTGGTATATGTGGTTGTCATCCTTTTCTTCGTCCAATCGAATTTCATCAACTTCGACGCACGATCTTTTAAGATACTTGCAAGATTTCTGTTCGGTTTCCACTATTTTTTTTTTTTTTCTTTTTTTTTTCTCCCCTTATTTTCGAGCGACTTTCGATCGATTAATTCAATTCCTCTCTGAATACCGCTTAAATATTCTATATCGACAACCAGGCTGAATCGTTATTAATTACTACACGTATTCGATATACTCAACTGATCAGCAGCAGGAAAAAGTGTTAATTTTATAAGTATAAATTATCACCTCTTATCACGAGTGACTTTATTAGAATCATGTTATTGCGAAAATTGATGATCTTCGAGATTGGTTTCGTAAACGTAATTCGTTTTTATTTTAACCTATATCTCCTCTTTCAAATTACACGATTGTATCTCTCTTTTGATTGTTAATCGCGTGAACTTTACGTTGTACCGTTCGTGTTGCGCGCCGATCGTTTGAATTTGCCGCTTCGCGAAAAATTTCTGGTCAAAACTACTACTCTCGCTCGTCCATTTCCTCGTTTCGTTGCTACGCAGTTGGAAAAGAATCCTTCGATTGTTTACCACGTCCCATCCCATACGCACACATCCATCGATCAAAAATGAGAATTCTCCTCTAAAAATTATTCAAACGTAAGATCGTAAAAGTTTCTCGATCGTGTCATCAAAGTTTCGCGGATACACATGTGCGATCTCATAATTTATGGATCGAGCTACGTAACTTTCACTTATCCAAACAATTATCGTTACGCTATATAGCTTTGAGAGTCGAATGTTTGCGTCACCAGTCTTTATTATATTGGCTAGACTGGCTGACGTCATCAAGCGGGAACGTTTAAACATAGAAACATTCGTTAATCGTTAATTATTGCAATTTCTTACATTTTTTTTCCACGTCAAAAATATTGCTAAAATAAATCTTTTCGCAAAATTTCGCGAATTATCCACCGAATTTTTTTTACAAGTTGAATTAATTTTTAAACGCGTAACTTTTTTTTCGATTTTTATTTATTTATTTTTTTTTTCTTAATTTTGATTCTTTCAAATGTTGAATTAAAAATTGAAAAATTGATCAATTAAAATCAATTTGAAATTTATCTTATTAATACAACAGGCTTAATTTGAACTAAACCACCTGTGCGCATCGTAATTGTGTAAATATCGAAAAATATGCGAAAATATTGTGACACGTTTAATTGATAATCGATTATATTATTCCATAAAATTAAATTGTGAAAGAAGGTGAAATAGATCTATTTTTGCATCGACGAAAAAAAATTCTATCTACGATAACGTATTTTAAAATCGCTTTATAAAAAAACTTTTAAGTTAGAAATTCTTATGATGCATTATCTATTCAAATATTTTTTTCCAAAGTAAATATTTCTTAGAATATTCTTCCTCTCGTCATAGCACAATCATCCACCCTTGAATCATACGACAAATCATCTTCTTCTTATATCTAACGCAAACAACAATGTTTTTACATAATTAAAGAAGAACTCTATTTGAACCACAACCAAATCTCAACGAGAGATCTTACAGAATCTTCTATTGAATCCGGAATTCTATTGAAACGGAGGAATAATATAATTCTAACATTATTCTTAACGTTATTAACAAAACAAAAGAAGAACTCTCTTACGAAGGCAAACAATTGTCAATCGGAATTCTATGGAATCCATCCTATCGAATTCCAAACAAGGATAACTCCAATATTATCTTAAAAAGAACAAAAGAAGAATTCTATTCTCCCGGGGATTCCACGGAATCCTTTCCTCGAACAGAGAAACCTATGCACCGAAAAGAAAGGCTCTCTCCTCTCTCTAAATCTTATCATCGCTTATCACTCGCTCTTATCATTCTTATTCTCCGATCCATGACGCAAAGCCTATTTATCGAGTGGTTTAAAAAACAATTATTCGCTCAGGACATCGAGCGAAACTATAATACTAACGGGACCAAGCATCGAGAAGCAAGGAATGCGGACGATGCCACGTGTGAGGGGGTCGTAAAGAGGAATAATTTCACAGATGCGCGGCTAACATCGCGAATAAAAGTTTCACATGCACGCATGCATGTGTATATAGCCCCGTGTATATGGCGGACAAGTTGCAAGGCAAACCGGCTGATCGAGCCGCAGAAAAATCGATAATCGACCCCTCCGTTTCCGCGTCGCATTCTACGCGACACTTACGCAATCCCCCAACAACACGTCCAATATTCGGCGCGTTCCGCCACGTTCGCGTAATTCGAAGACGCGCAAGACACATTTGCATCGAGGATTCCTTTCGTCAAAGCAAGGTTGGAAAAGGAGAGAGAGAAAGGTGGAATGGATCGCGTGCCACAGGGAAAACGATGCCCTCGGTGTTGCATGACGTTCCTCGCCGAGCTATCGTTTCGCTTCCTGAAAAACGAGAGCTCGACGCTCTCGTGGAGTGGTGGAAGATCGATGAAAAATTGCACTCTGCTCGCCGATTTTGGAATTTTTTTTTTGGAATCCCCCCTCCCCCAACAAAGGATTCGCGAAGAAAATGTGGGAACAAGATTTGAATCGAAATGACGAATTCGAGAAATCGATGAATGATTAAACGTTAGAGAGCGGAGGGGGAGTTAAAAGGATAGATATCGAAATAGAAAAGCGTATAAGGTAAATTGGAAGGCTAAGTTCATCGTTGGCTGATATCACCTGCGCATCGTTATAGTCAATCGTCAATATTTGCGTTCCAGTTATATATGCGAGGTCGTTATATATAAACTTACGTTTATATACAATCGAGTATACGTAACAACAAAGTGGTTGTACCTTATCGCTCGTAAATTAGGTTGGCATAATAGGCTAAAAATTATACCGATCGTTTTCCATTCGATTCGTATTGACGAACGCAAAAAGAAAAAAAAAAAAAAAAAAGAAAAAGAAAAAGAAAAAAAAGAAAAAAAAGAAGAAAAAATGGTAAAAATTGTTGTTGTCAAGAATTGACAAGTTGATGGAGGTTAAAATAATAACGAGTGCAAAAGTGTCGTGATTATACGGGGGAATTATCATCGAGAAACCTTGATACGACGAGGACCGTTATCGACTTCGTATATTTCATCAAGGACGTCTTAGATGATAGAAACTAATCACGCCGATAATTAGACTCGTAAACTTTCGTTCGTGTAAATTTCCCACTCTAATGCATCTCGAAAACCTGTTAAACCACCGACCTTGGCTCAAATACCGTCTTACTATTAATAATAAAATTTTATGCATCACATCATTATGCGTATCATTAAGAGTATTAATTCACATTCCCCTTTTTAACGTCTCCTCTTTAAATCAGGGAAAATCGACTTTATTGATAAAGAAAATCCGGGAAAATCCAAGTTTCTAAATCGAGATTCAGCTTAATCGATGATGTACCATACAGGACAGATATAAACGATAAATTTTATGGTATATTTTTGAACGGATGACACGCGATCGATTCGATCGATCACGTGCTATTTTATTGCTGCAATTTCATCGATATTTTCGCAGAGTTGGCGGCTCGTGCCTGGAATGTTTTAACGCGATAGAAGATTGATTTTCAATGGATAAATGTATTAGCAGATCGCCGAGAAGTGGGGATAAGCGTGACTCAATAAATAGATCTCATCTTTCATCATGCAATTAGGAATTAACTAATTACGATAACAACTCGATCTCTCGATGGTGTAAGTTTTCCCGGTTTTCGATCACAATTTTTCCAATTTCACCGCATAAAATCGAATTTTCTCCATTTTCTCGAGCGTCGAATCGAGATTTATCGAGAGTTAGAAATAAGATGGAAGAATGAAAAAGAAGAAAAGAAAAATGATACGTTTCTTGATATATATATATATATATCACTCGTGTCAGAAGATCGTGCTACAGAAGCTGCTTGTCTTGTATCAACCTTAGCAATTATCGTTGTTTATGATTATCTTAACGCATAAGTTGTCATATCTATTTGAATAATGGTCACAGTTTGTTTAGAAATGTTAGGTTAAGTTATTAATATCCTTCACGTCTTTTGCCTCTGAATGAAAAATGAATTTAAACAAGCTTCTCTCGAGAAGAGATTCGTAATTTTATTCGAGGAAAAAGATATGCATCGATTGCCTCGAAATATTTATAAAGAAGATTCATTTCATAAAATTTCATAAAATATGGAAGAATAATCTTAAACATTCCGACCTGTACGATAAAATCTAAATCGTGGCTACGTAAAGAACGAAATATTCTGGAAATATTAACAAAATAAAATCGACGACTAAACGAACTATAATGTAAATTTTAACGATTATATAATAGAATTACCGATATTGTTACACGGTGATTATTCTACTTTTTTTCCTTTTTTTTTTTTCTTATCAGTCCAAAATCTATCAGTAAGGTAAATCGTATTTCATAATCTCGATTCGATATCGTTTCGCATTAACAAATCGAAATTATCGACAATTAAAAAAGCGTGTGCTTGAGATTACATCATACATATTTGATCAGTTTGTGTTTTTTTAATGAGCTTGATTGCCTTGGGGAAAAAAAAATGATGAATATTGCGTTTGTTTTAAACGTGTCAGAAGAGAAGACGGTACTGAATAGACGAAAGAAAGAAAAAAAAAAAGAAGAAGGAGAAATCATTTTGCAGAATTTCGAACGGAATGTTAATCGACGTTAATAGAATGACAATGTCGTTGCTGCGATTCTTGTTTGACTTGGAAACAAACCAGGAAACACTTGAATCAATTAAAACGTTTTATATTAAAACGACCAACTTCTTTCGAATCTAAGAAAGAAATCAAATCGTAAAGGGGACAAAGTATTCTTGATTGAACGGTACAAGATGCGGTAGGAATACTCGTCGAGTATTAAACGAACCAGTACAGGGATTAAAGTCAATTGATCGAGTAGTTGATTCATGATGAATGGGTTTACTACTATCGTAATAAACTATCAATGAACCGAAGTACGTTGAACGTACGTAGAGCGAATGAAAATGGAAGAAAATAAATTATTAAATAATCCAATTGCCCGATTAATCCGAATGATCGTAAACAGACTACTCGAGTAAAATGTAAATGGAATCAATGAGCAGGAGAAAGATCAATTTCCACGATCACGGGCCGAGCAAGAAATTTTCTACCTAGTGCATACCTATGGAACAGAGAGGGGGAGGGGAAAAAGAAGAAGATACCGAGAGAGCTCCTCCAACCAGGAGGATGTAATTTACCGGTTTTTGTTTCTCTTGTCCGTCTGCCAATAACTGTTACGGAGAAATGACTTTTTATTCAGCCCTTCGGCGGATAGCAGTATCGTGAACGGTAGTCTATTCACTCTGCGATAAATATTAAAACGCCGATTCTGTGAATTCGAGGAATCATTAGAAAGGAGCAAAAATGGGCCGGCATCTCATCGGGTGAGATCTCCTTTATTTATAGAATAACGAACGAAAGGATGGAGAGATATTCCGTTCTTTTTTTTCTTTGTTTTATATTAAAAATCGATTTATATAGTGGCGATCGTTGCTGTGTTTTCGTCTTCTTCGCAACTACTACTCTTTTCGCGGATGGCGAGACAACGAGACGAGAGGAGATATCGAGAAATGGCAATCTGCCCCGGTATTTTGCACGGGGTGTTTCGAAAGTGACGCGGCCATTCGAGGACGCATTGTCTTCGCGCTTGCTATAATACAAGGTCTGAAAATTCGCGACGAAGTTGGCAGACTAGACGATTACATTGCAAAATCACGTATAAGAGTAAAAAAGAAAAGGACGGTATCGCTTACACGGGCCACGTATTTCAGTGTTGGATAAATTTCTCAGAATCATGAGAAAATAGCGTGATTTTTTTTTTTATTATATCGAATAAGAGCGGTGATTTATCGTTCGATAGACATATTGATTTAACGGATGATCTGAATCGAATTTCTAAATTATATAAACAACGACGCCTTTTGTTGTAAACAGATCTATATCTGGGCGTAGTTTAATATTAAATAGTATTAATTTATATTGTTATTTACTCGTTGATTAAGTGGACGGCAGTCAATTGAAACTGCTTCCACTCGATCTACGTAGGAACTTCCGATAAGAGATATTAGGTCACGCAGACATTCTCACGGGTTCTTCGTACATAAACAAAATTCGCTATAACACTGAAAAATGACTTAATTACTAGATCAGTATATTTTTTTTTTTTTTTGTTCGTGACGTCCTGTGTTACGAATCCTTTCCTTCGTGTTACGAACTATACCTGGTGATGCAATTCGTGTAATAATCCGATAGCTCGCAAAGCTAGATAATAAACATCGAGCTCTACGAGGCTCTAGGAATTCCGTGAAACCAGAACAAACACGCGAATCTGCTGATAAGAGATAACCTAAAACTCGATGAAAAAGCACCTGTAAACGCTTTCCATACCTTCAAACTGGGAACACCGATTTTATTTAAAACGAGTCTACCGTCGAACGCGACATGTTCGCGACATGTAAACATACGTATATATACATGGCTGTCGCGATTCAATAAATTAGCGAAAGCTGATCGGTCAGGTGGTGATCAGCTGACAATCAGCTGAGTGTAGGTTGGTGCAAGAATGCGTGGGCACAGTATTAAAAATGCACACGAGAAAGTAAAGAAGCACGTGGTGTGTCTGTCCCAGACAGTAATCGCGTTCCCAACCGAACTATTCACGGCTAGCGGCGCATCGTGGCCAAGAATAAACATGAAAATTGGTTCGCAACCCTTGCTTGGCGTCGCTTTTGCCTCGTTCTTTAATGTCTTGTCTAGCCCTTGTCATGTTGATTCAACTTGTAACGATAATAAATTATCTTCTCGATTTATCGTTCGAATAGATGCTCGATTTATCGTGTTTTCTCTTGAAAAATATATAGAAACTAGTGATCAAAAAATTAAAAAAGAAAAAAAATTGTACGAGTTAAATGAGGAAAAATGTGAGAAATAAAACGATAAACGCTACGTATTTAGTAAAATGAACTTACCAACGTGTTCTGATATCCCAAACCATAGTCATCGCTTCCCTCGATGATTGACGATGCCATGTTGGACCTTCAATTGATCGAAAATCGTGCACGACACTGAATACGAAAACTGAAGCGATGTGGCGAAGGTCGAGAAATGGGCAGATCGACGAAAGGAGACAGGGTAGAGGCAAAAGGGGAGAAAAAAAACGAGGCGAGGATAAAGAAAGAGGTTAGGTCGAGCTAGATCGAAACTTCACTAATGGTTATTGGTCGTTTCTTCCTCTTCCTCTCTTGCCTCGGTAACTTATCGACCACGATCCCCGCTTTAGACACATTTATCGTCTTTTTCTCGAAGAATGATCCTCGATCTTTTTTAGCCGGGAATCGATCACCACTCGACAGTGCGCGTCTCGAGAGCGCGACGATGTTTTCACACATGAACACCAGTACCAAAACACGATACCGACTGACCGTTTCGTTCGTTTCTCAATATTCATAAAGTACAGATAAGTCAGTTACGCGTGGGTTTATAATGTAGACGCATCAGCGGAATCGCGTTTCGTCACTCGAAAGACTAGTGGACAATTATCAGTTTCGTCACACGTCTATCGTTCGACAAAAAACGGAATATTCGATCTACATTTCGATCGCGAACATTGCAATGACCAATGGTATCGCGTCTCGAGAATGAATATTTCTCACAACGATATAACATTTATTGGTAACGCGATTTCGAATGATACCCACTAGCTGCTCTGAAACGCGTGCCGAGACCGGGTGTCGAACTACCAAACAGAAAGAAAAACAACCAGCCCCACCACACCACGCTACGAAAATTCTACAATACATATACTTCACGCCAATTTCGAACACGCGATACGGATTTCCGCGAGGCAATTTTCTGCCTGAAATCGTTATACCTATTATTTTTCTTTTTTTTTTTCTACGATTCCAAAAAATTAATCGTATCGATCGATCGATAAAGTTCAAGAATTGGAAAAAATATATCAGGCGAAGAAATAACAAATTAATCCGATGATAATATAATTTAGGATAAAAGATTTTTTGATTTTTTTTAAAACTTTCACTCGTTCTACGATTCCTTGACTGGATATTTGTTGGACGAGTGCCGAGAGGTAAACGTTCGAGACAATTCTCATTGATGGAGATGATTTTAAGGGTCGTTTGACCTACGATATCGGTGACACGAGACGCGCTTCACAAGCGACTGTCCGGTTGGACGGTCGTCAGCCGACTGATAGGTGTATGAATGAAGCGGCAGAGATTTCTGTCTCGGTTTACAGGAAAAATCAGAATCCTTCCTCGTCGATTGACACTATTCGACACGTGACTTTGATTTCGCGTTGTCATTAATAATGTTCAATACTTGCGGTTTTACCATTTCGTTCGGCGTAGCTGATGATTGACACGATCGTAAAAACAATTATTACCGTTAAATATCAAGAACTAGATATAATTACTAATCTCTATTTAATTTAAAGATAATTCGACCGGTATATCGACTCGTATGATACACTTACAATTACATGCTCTCTTGCATGCTTCGCAGATGTAATTATGTAATTCGAATTAACTGGGATTTGCTCGAGATGCCGTGCGAAAAAACCTTGTTCGTTTGTCAAACATTCTTTCGAAATAAAATAAAATTCTTCTATGAAATGTAAGCGTGATATAAGAAAATACCAGTTTCCTATCTGGGGATACAGGTTTTTCAATTTTGACTAGAAAATAAAGTAACGTTATAAATAAAATTGGATGATCGAGAAAAAAAAAAAGGAAAAAGAAATAACACTCATGACTGTCTATTTTATTTTCTTGTCCCGTTAAATCGTCCTTCAATCGTGATCACAGACCGACCTTGACCATCGATTCACGCGTCATCTCTCCTTTCAAGGTTTTAACACTGTTCCGGGGCCATTTGTCTAAATTATTCACTTCTTCGTTGATTGGCCATCGTTAATATACTAATTTCGTATTGCTCGTAACATTTTGTTTAGCCGGATCAAATGATCGAAAACATCGATTTTGGATCATGAACGGATCGAATGCGCAGACGTATTTCTTAACGTGTGCATTTTAAGTGTAAACACGATCATTATCAGTTTCACTTAAACGAATGTGAACGACAAAGTTTTAAGATATAAGGAAAAAGAAGAACAGGAAAGTTTGCACACTTTCTACAAGATGGAAATTAGACTCGCGTCCGGTGAAGGATGATTCTACCGAATCAAGTTTCACCGAATTCGATAGTCTTAGTGACACTTTACTTTACTAGAAGCATGACGGTATTCGCAAGAGAACGTCAGTACATGAATATTTATGAGCGCGAACATTCTAGGTACGTAATCACGATCGGAATCGAACGATCGCATTGACGAGTTCGAATTCTTTTCTTATCGTATGGTACATTAAAACTATAATGTAGAAATCGTGCGTGGAGCTATTGAATGTTGATATTTGGAGAGGAACGAGGCGAAATGGAAACCTGAATTATTTGAATACCGATGAAAAAAAGTATAAACGTTATATTATATATTATATATCATTAATAAATGTACAATAAGCATTGTAACAAGATAACATTATGAAATGTATTGTCCGTTCACAGTTTTACAAAAGGCCACCCATATTAATACTGCAATTAATCTAATAATTGTGCGCTTGAATAAGTTTAAGTCTCAAAAATATATTTTTTTCTTATCTTTCTTTTTTTTTTATTATATATATATATTACTTCATCGTAATTCGTTCAAACAAGTCCATACGGATCTTGATTTTTAACGATCACATTATATCTAACTTTGTGCGCCCATTTTTTTTACTCTGGTGAGGTTAACTTTTTAGGACACAAAATAACAAATCCAGAGCATTTATATTCCATTTGGTATAATGCTATCAGTTAGAGGAATTGTCAGAATCCGACGAGCCTGACACAATTGAAGCTATTGCAAAGATTAAAATATGTATCTATTTAAATCTATAATTTATAAACCTATGTTTGTGTATTATTTTTTCTTTGTAAATATCACTCACCAATAATGATGATTAAAATAATTACGCAGATAATACCGATGATGATCATCATTTTAAGATTCTTCCACCAAAATTTCCTTTTCAATTTGCCTGCTTGTTGTTCAAATTGAGTAGCTCCCTGTTGCAGAGCATCAGCACGATTTTCCAATTCTGACAACTTTTGATCTCTTTCCAATACTTTTTCTACATTTACTTTCATTATTCCCACAACTTCATCAACGGTTGCTTGTGTTTGCTGCAGCTTTTTTGTAGATGCTGGCTGTGAGTTTCTTGGACCACCCATATCATCTCTAGAATTACCACTGCCATCCATATTTCTGTAATCAAAAGAATCACATACGATAAATATGTATCAGAAAACATGATCAATTATAATTAACAATAATTTAAAATACATTTTAAAAACAATTTTTTTGGATAGAGCAACAATATGTATGAACTACTGCACACACCCATAACCTAAAAATTTATAAAATATTTGAACGAATAAAATTATTGAATTACAATTGTGTACAATACTGTTATAATATTTAATAAATGTCATATTTATTCAATAGAATAAAAATACAACAGTATCGTTAAATTAAATATAATATAATAAAATATAAGCAAATATGTACTCTGTTTATAATATCGTAATATTTTATTAGAAATACCAATTTGTATCATTTTTTTAAAATAGAAAATTACAACAACTTACTCTAAAATGAAGAATTTATGAAAAATTTAATGGGGATGCAAATTGTTTAAAAATAATGACAGATATCCCCAACTTTACTTCGATGACGAATACACTTTACAACTGTACATGACATACGATAAAGATGGCGATACTCATGACATCACATTTATTATGAAAATTATCAAGAAATGTAACAAGCAATCAGATTCTTTTTCCAATCTAATCTTTAATTCATTAGTTATCAGTATTAGATACAATCATTATATAATCATAATTTTTATCAGCTTTCACGATGTAATTTTTAAGATTACAATGATACAAATCTTAAATTCAAATCACACAAGTGCTGCCATCTTAATACAATTATGCGCATTATAAATACATTTGAAAGCTTTAATATGTATATTTCTTTACGTCAAAATTATTTTACTCTGAAATTGTCCGATTAATTTTAATGATAATAAATATCACTATTTATAAATAAATAACATAAAAAGATTTTTTAAACTTTAATACTTTTAATGAAAATTAATATGTAATTAGAGATATATAAAATGTAACAACAAAATAAAAATTTGGCTCAATTATTAAAATGAATTATGAATAACTTTTATTACAAATTATATGGACAAATGTAAGCTATTTTTTTATCAAACTTTTTAATAGTCAATAATCTTTTAAAATTTTACAAAATATATGAACAATAAACTCACTCGACGAACGATCCATTTCTCGCCTTTTTTTACCAATCTTCAACGACATTTTTACGAAGCAAAATTCACAATGGTATCCTCACCTCGCGACAAAAATCGTAACGAAGACATAAATAAAACATCTTACGGATGCTTGTGCGCGTATTCTCATCGCGTTGCCAGGACCGTATGAACTTAAATCACAGAAATGTACTTTTAAACAAAAAAAAATGTATCCAATTTTATTCAAAAGATTAATCCCGTAAAATCGTCAAACGAGACTTGAACAAATCTTGGTTTTTCAATCATTTTATTAATATCGGTGTCACATTCGATCACGAAATAACAACAATAAATTAATTAGTTACAAAATAATGAGAATAATCGTGCCGGTCGTTGGCCTATTTTCGCGTTTCAAAAGTCAGGGCTCTCGAGAACAACGATAACATCCCTGACTTCCTCTCAGGGTGTGTTTGCGCATGAGGGTTGCGGCTGACTGGCGTTTATTGACTGGAACTTTCTGTACATGCGCATTACTCTCTCTTCCAAGCCACGTATCGAACTTTCGTATTCGATACATCGATTCTCGATCTTCAATCACCAACGTGAAAATTTCCATTACAATATTATATTAATTCGTATATTTCGCACATAATTATATTCGACGAGATTTTCAATCAAATTGATCGTTCGTAGAAGAAAAGAAAATTCGTCGAAGAGTTAAAATTGAAAATATGGAAGACACGATTCAAACGGTTCGAGGGCAAATCGAGATAACGGTGGAGCGGCGGCGCGATGGTGTCGCTGGAAATTTTATCAATACCGCGGCTGTCTAGTCGGTGACAGTCGCTCGTGAAAAGTACGCGGTCATCTGACGGGGTTGGCAAGTCAGCGGATAGCTCTAGTTCAGGAAACCAACAGCGACCGACGAACAACATGTGAGTAAATCCACGAAATTCTAACGATCCTGTGCTCATCGAAAAGTGTATTTCTGTTCGAGCAAAATCGACGAGAGAAATTCGTGTGAACTGGTGATTCCCTGCGAACGAATCTATATCGAGGCATCTATAATCTACGAGAATCTATAATCTATTCTGCAGAATACGGAAACGTGTAACTTCTAGTTTTGACAAATTAGTATCGAGTTTATTTAAGCCTGCCGGCGAATAAACGCAGGCGAATCGATAAATTATTCAAGATAGAAATGTAAATCTCGTTTTAAACGTTCTCTACAATTTTCGTCATTTTTTTATCTGGTAATAATCGTATCTCGTTAAAAGGAAAAGAAGAATGGAAAATATTTATGAGTTTATCCTGAAAAATCATCGAATTTTTAGTGACGTTGATAAACGAACGAATCTTTCTATTCCATAAATTTCTTATTATTTCGAGTTTGCATTTGTAACCTCATTTTTCCTCGTTCGTATATTACGCAAGAATTAATTTGACAAGTGAACTCAGAACATACGTTAGAACATGAAATAACAATTATTTTTGTCGAACGATATATATATATATATATATATATATATA